AGATTTCAGACTTTGGTCCACTGAGTGACCAATGCTGGCCCCTTGAGGGTAGAGCAGATGCTTCCTGATCTGGCGCTGATGACGCTCCTGCCCCGATTCACGATACAGAAGCAAATCTAATGCTCACCCAGTCCTGCTAGGCCGAAACCTATAAGAATATTCGCCTTTTGCAACCCTCGGAGGCCAGGATGAGTCTGAAGTTTAACCACTGGCTCAAAGGCCTTCATTGGGTCACACTTTTTATTCTGCTATTAAAATGTCTTTGGTGTGAACTGGGTAGTGCAGGACCCTGCTCTCCTTGCGTGGTTTCCACTTTTGTGCATCACCAAAGAGGCTGGGGTGGAGCAGTGAGGAGGCAGGTCCTTTTCATAAGCGTCAGTCAAAAGAGAAGAGTTGAAAAAGGAACTTTCCTTTTGGGCTGTTTTTGTTATTGTCACTTAAACTTGTATGCTGCCCAACTCCCCAGGACTCCGGGTGGCTAACGATGGTGGTGATGATGATGGCGGTTTCTGTAAATAGCTACACGCCTCGGTTTCCTGTGAAACGGTTTGACTTCAGAGCCGTCGTGTGGCGCGCACATTAATCAGGATAGCAGCCCTTTGCATTTATCACTTCAAAGCACGAGTTCCCTTTTTCCACGGGGTGGAGAAAGAATGTTGGCCGGTGAAGGACATGAGCGTGTCAATGCGTTTTTATCTCCGCGTTGTTTTTGAAATCCCAGTGATGAAGACACATTTTACATGCTGCGAAATCCATGTTTTTAATGGGAAGTTTCTGCCTTTGGTGGAGGCGAGGCGAGGCGAGGCCCCGGGGGATCCTAGAACTGGAAATATAGAATGATCCGCTCGGCGGAGCCAAGATGGCGCAGAGGCAGCACCCACCCCGTCCGTCCCCCTCCCCAATAAAGCGCTCCTGCGATTTCTCTAGTTTCCTCTGCTGGTCTGTCTTATCTCACTCACTGTAAGAGATAAGGCTGATCCGCTCCATCGTGTTCTCCTCCCTTGCCTTGCTAAAAGCCTGGCGGAGAGCCAGATGACTTACATTACTGTAATAGATTTGATGACCTCTGACTTCCGCCGCAGAGGAGTACGCTGAATTTTTCATTACATCAGAGGATACCGAAAGCGAAAAACTCGGGAGGGGAGGCCGCATTATTTAAACACGCATTCAGTTACACAGATGTTTTTTCTTTTCTTTTTCCTCAAAGGGGAGGGGGGAATAGTTGCAATTAAATGTCATATATTGCTGCATTAAGTGAGGATTAATGCAGTTCCGATTTGTTCAGTCAGCTTGTATGGATTTTTTGAAGTTGCCTTGATTATTTTTTTTTTGCAAAGGATAATCTTGCTTTTCATAGTCAATGAATTTAATCAGGAACTCAGTTGATAGCAAAGGCTTCCCTACTGTTTCTGCTCTGGACTGGAAAATGTTATTCTTGTATTATTGCCGGCAAAAAAATTGCCCCGTGCTGTTCCGAAATCTGCTACCTATAGAAAAATTGTTTTTTAATGTGTGACTGTTTACACATTCCAGTTATGGCAATTATCCCTTAAATAATACATTTTATTAACCTAAACATAGGAACTGTGCTTTATAATACTGTTGTTGGCAAAAGTGCACACCCAGACGGAACCTGGGAGTAAATATTACTCTGGGAGTAAATGGGGCCTTTCTAACATTCTCAGTGCTGGTGAGTCTCTGCTAGGGCTGAGCTGTGCTCGGAGGCAGCCGAAAGGCTCCTCTTTTGCGCAGCCAGAAAACCGCCAAACGTTAGTGCCAAACCGCTGAGCCACGGAAGCTCAGTTTCCCACCAAGAATACGGCAGGAAACCAAAGGATAAGCTTGTCATTTAACAGTCACCCCAAATGCCCCCCCCCCAATGAAAATGAAAGTCTTGCTCTGATCCGTTGTTCTGCAGTTAGGGCCCATCTCCGTTATTTCTGCTTGCCAAAATAGGGTGGGAATCTGGCGGGGCGGGGGGGGAGCTTCTGCCAGGCACGGCACGGCACGGCACGGCACGG